CCAAATTAGACTAGAATTTTATGCACAATTCTATAACGCTAGTCAACCCAAGTTATAAAAAGAATGAAGCATGGGTGATACTAAGGTTGACCGGTACAAGTTGAAGTCGAGGGTCATGGGTAAACTAAGATTGAAAATTTTATTACTTTAGTTACGTACGAACCTCTCAAAATTCCGAATCATTAATTACATCTCTTTCTTGTGTGCAAGTTTAATTTGTAGCCTGTGTGTAGTTACNTTTAGTTACGTACGAACCTCTCAAAATTCCGAATCATTAATTACATCTCTTTCTTGTATGCAAGTTTAATTTGTAGTCTGTGTGTAGTTATATTTAGGCCTTTTGGTTGATGAACCCAACTAGCCCATGTAATTAACAATCAAGAGCACAAGGTTAACATGCTGTTGTTCACCAACTTAGTCATGATTTGTCATGACCATTGCTACCAATACCCCTGCAATGACAAAGTATGTATATAGCTTATTTATTGCCTTACCTGGCATAAAACCTGCAAATTGGGTCGAACTTTAAAAGGTAAATTTTACTTCGATTGCATTATTCATCGTAGCGAGAATCTTATACTTGTGACTTGGTGACATCATCTATCTAGTAAATTTTTATTGAATTCAACCTTGGAAATGGCTCCTAACCCGCACAATAACGATCACCGTAAAATTTAGTGTCGAAAAATGGCACCTAGCCAGCAATAGCAAGATTATTGTATCAAAATTTTGTTGACGACAGTGACGATGGATGAAACTCATAACTAGCCAAAAGCGCCGTGTAAGATGAACTGTCTGGCGGTGAAAGCTAAGGAAATTTTGAAGGGACCATTTAATTAATTTTTCTATGACATTATGGTCCATGCTACAAATTGACAAAATTAACTATCTATTTAGCCCCTAAATTATATTATTTATATCCATTAAGTCTCTAAATTATTTTTTGTATTAATTTAGCCCCTAAATTATAACATTTTGTCAATATGACTCTTTCGTCCAAATTTGTCGTTAAGTCTGACAGAATTTCTCACATGCATAGCACGTGACCTCTAAATTACGTCAANCTATGACATTATGGTCCATGCTACAAATTGACAAAATTAACTATCTATTTAGCCCCTGAATTATATTATTTATATCCATTAAGTCTCTAAATTATTTTTTGTATTAATTTAGCCCCTAAATTATAATATTTTTGTCAATATGACTCTTTCGTCCAAATTTGTCGTTAAGTTTGACAGAATTTCTCACATGCATAGCACGTGACCTCTAAATTACGTCAAAATTATCAACTCACGTGATATGCACATAAAAAATTCCGTCAAAGTTAACTATGAATTTAGACGGAATGGCCACATTGACACAATTAGTATAGTTCAAGGGTTAAATTGATATAAGACATAGTTCAAAGACTTGATTAATACAAACAATATAATTTAAGGGCCAAAAAGATACTTAATTGACAACTGAATAATGTTATTAGGGTTTGTCACNGTTAACTATGAATTTAGACGGAATGGCCACATTGACACAATTAGTATAGTTCAAGGGCTAAATTGATATAAGACAGTTCAAAGACTTGATTAATACAAACAATATAATTTAAGGGCCAAAAAGAAACTTAATTGACAACTGAATGATGTTATTAGGGTTTGTCATGGTCATAGTGGGTACATCAAATGTGGGCTTATAGTTCACATCGTGCCTGTCACGTGTACTCAACGTTNGATGTTATTAGGGTTTGTCACGGTCATAGTGGGTACATCAAATGTGGGCTTATAGTTCACATCGTGCCTGTCACGTGTACTCAACGTTTGGAAGTGCACATATGACCACACATGCACACCGAATATTCAACGTAGCAGTGACACCACACCGTCACTATTACGTAGTGTCACCTTATGAATAAATATGTAAGAATGGTGAATTCCACTACATTCTATAACCACAAATAATTTTTAAATTCAAAAAATATCATTGAAGATTAATAGGGTTCACTTATTCTACTTGCTTATTTGTTATAACAATAACTCATGCCTAAAAACACTGGATAATACAAATAAATCGACTATCAGTTGTGTAGTATAAATATATGAAATTATTTTTTTTTCTTCATTTTCTATAAGGGTGGGGTTATTCCCACCCCTTAAAACTCTTTTTTTTTACCCCATTTAATGTTCTTACTTTAAACTATTAAATTNCTATCAGTTGTGTAGTATAAATATATGAAATTATTTTTTTTTCTTCATTTTCTATAAGGGTGGGGTTATTCCCACCCCTTAAAACTCTTTTTTTTTACCCCATTTAATGTTCTTACTTTAAACTATTAAATTCATCTCATCTATGTCCACTTCATTAGTTACTAAACTTACTCCATCTATATTCACGAATTAAAAACTAAATTCATTTAATTTTATTTCAACCTACTATATAGACCATAATCAAAATTTCGTTTTGGTGCATTATTTTGGTACGAAAATATTTAAGAAGTAAAATAAAAATTAAATATTAGTCAAAATATACTAAAATATTTTAAAACACCTCAAAATATTCTAAAGACATTTGTGAAAATATATCAAAATATCTTAAAACACCACAAAAAAAATATAAATCACTTCAAAACATTGAAATTTCGCTTTAATTACTATTTTTTCGATTTCTTTGATATATGTTTAATAATTTAATTGAATGTTTATAAATGAGGTGAACTTAATAACTAATGTAGTAGATATAAATGGGGTGAACTTATTTTAAAGTAAGAAGAATAAATAAGGTGGGAAAAGATATTAAATGGGCTAGGAAAAAATATTTAAAGGGGTGAGAATAGCCCTCACCTTACTGACCTAATTTATTATGATCTTTGGATTGACTGTGATGTCCATCAAATATTGAAATTTGGTGCTAATTTAATGATTCTACTGAAGTCACATCATTATGTCAATAAATTAGATCAAATTTTTATATCTAAATAATATTACTCATTCTATAATTACACAATTTAAAATCAATCTTGTCTCGCTATTTAAAAATTATGGGGTGGGTGAAATTTTTAACTTTGAGAGAATCTGAATTTGATTACCCTGACGAAGTATGGGCTGAATAAGATTTTCAAGTTTTAGGGGAAAAATTAGTGATAATTTTGAGTCATTTGATTGAATAAATCTCAATCACTCTTATGCTAAGTTAATTTAAGGTATTCAAAATGAGTCGTTTTTTATTATTATATTAAAAATAATCTGTGCTTGAAGATACGGTACAATATAAATAATTTTAAAATAAATATCAGTAGCCGTTAAATTAATTTATTTGAGATCGTTAAATAAATTATTTGAAATCTATCAACGTTTTATATTATAAATTATTGGTGGGCAATAACAACATTGGGTGATGGGTCTTCCAGGTTTGATGGACCAAGCTATAACTGACTAACCCATTATATCTAGCCACAACTGACTACCCCATTATCTCAAGAGAAAAGGAAAAGCTGCTGAAATTAAATATAGGTTTTGATTGTTGCACTTTACTAGATCACAAAAAAAAAATTGGTATCATCACTAGAAACCACTAAGCCTAGTCCTAAACGTGAAATATATCAGTTAAACAGATAAACATTGGTCATCGACCGAGGTTGTATATATCTATTTTCTAGAGATAGGTTGTCAAGACTCGAACCTGTGTCATACGGCTGTATAATTATCATTGCGATTCAAATCGTAGTTTTTATTCTCTTTTATACTCTCTTTGAAAAAAAAAAGTAATCACCATCCATTTAGACTAGAAAAGAAAATTGTGGACAAAAAATCACAAGATCGGAATTAAATATTTCTGGGTGATGGTAGAGTAAGATGAGAATTATTATGTCACAAACATAATCCCTAACCTATATGTGATATTTCAGTCCATTTAAAGATTCTATAGCTCTCAAAAAAAGAGTTGGGTATCTTTTTTTCTACCCATAATCCAATTAAAAAAAAGGTTATTTATACCTAATTTACTAACTTCGTGCATCACAACCATCGATTCAACAGTAAATCTCAAATTTTTTGGGATTCTTCAAGTCAATGGATTCGATTTATTAAATCAATTACATCAACGAATTAAGTCCAAATAGTATTAGTGAATTCAATAGGACTAGAAGGTAAGCTCATACTATGCCCCAATGGCCACCAACATCATTGAAAAAGTTATCCCCACCAAACAAAAAAAAAAGAGAGAGACTAGAACTCTATAATCAAGGGAACACTGGTCTTTGCCCCCCACAATACACAACACAAATCTCTGGATTTCACACCAATTAGAAGAAAAAAAAAAAAAAAAAGCTTGTTCCATTCTACACCACTCATCTTCTATGTTAAAGCACACATTGACATCAATCTTACTCTCTTCAAAGCAGCCTCCATACATGCCTTCTTTTTAATAATATCAGGTACAGTGCAATGGATTATTATAAAAGTAGTGGCCCTATCTTTTCCCTCTATTTTTTTTTTTAACAGAGTGTTTAAGTTTGTGTTAATTACTTCTTTAAGTCTGAATATTAGACCCCGTAGTCCAGACAGATTTATCCCCCAAATAAAAAGGGTAGTTGAATTTTTAGAGTTATGGAAAGTGTTGAACTTGAGACCTCATAATTATCAGAGATCAGATTCAACCACTGAACCACTCCTAAAGGTTTAGTGGCATACCACGGCTTTCAATCAGTAAATTTACTTTGTCCTCTGCAACCTCACAAATCTCTTTTTTTACGCATTCCATGTATCAAAAAGTTATGTTTAGATCACATATCTCCTATTTATTTTCAATTAGAGTGTGACACGTCTAAAACATTTTTATTTTATTTGCTTATATGATCAATGACAACAAATAATTTGATAGCGGATACCAAAAAAAATATCTTTTAGTACCACAGCCGCACCCATTGCCTTCCTATAAATTAAGGTAGTCAACACATATTTCCTAACTTCCAAGCTACTTTTACATCATTTAACTTAAAAACTTGAACTATGTCCATCACTGGACTTTCAGTCCCGGAGAAGATCCTCAAAAAATCATTTCGCCGGAGGAACGATTCCGGCGAGCTGGACGTGTTTGAGGCTGCGCAATATTTCTCCGGTGCTAATGAAGTTTCTGGTTATAATGGTGCAACTTTCATGGAGAATATCATAAGAGAAGAGAGACAGACAATCAGAAACTCACTTCCTTCACAAACTTATGCGATGGAGAAGCAGACATTGAAAGAGAAGAAACACAAACAACCAAGCTCTCCAGGAGGTAAACTTGCTAGTTTCTTGAATTCTCTTTTCAATCAAACATCTTTGAGAAAGAAAAAATCCAAGTCCACCACCACCACACAGTCTGTGAGGGGTGAAGATCAAGAGAGCCCAGGTGGAAGGAGGAAAAGGAGGAGCAGCATTAGTAATTTCCGACTCGATGATGGCTCATACCACAACCTTGAACCATACGATACAAAATCCATGAACTCGTCTTCGATTTCTGGTTTTAGAACACCTCCACCATATGCACACCCTCCTACAAAAACATGTAAGAATCTCAGAAGCTATTCAGATCATAGGCAAGTGGTCATGTCCTTGCCAAAACACAACAATGGACATGTTAAGTCCACTACTACTTTACAAAATGAGGTTGAAGATGACAAAAACAACACAGATCATGCTTGGTTGGATGAGAAATTCAAGTTCAGTGATGGATTTTCTGAGAAACATAACAATTATGGTAAGGGGTTTTTGAAGAAAGGTAGGACTTGGGCTGATCAGATTGAAACAGAGGAGAGAGAATTTAAGAAGTTCTTCAATGAGGTTGATGATGGTGGTGACAGTGATTCAAGCTCTGATCTGTTTGAGTTACAAAACTATGATTCAGATCACTACTCAACTGGTTTGCCTGTTTATGAGACTACCCACATGGAAATCATCAAGAGAGGTGGACAACCAACATAGGGGTTTTTTTTTTTTTCTTAATTTTCCTTGCATATTGATTCTTGATTTTGCAAATTGATCCTCACAGTTTCTCTCTGTATTTACAGTTTGGAATGTTTTACTTTCTCTGTTCTTTTTCTTTGCTTGTTGAGCTATTTTTTTAATCGATTTAAAATGGTTTCATCGAGAAATTGGATATACAACATAATTTCAAACGTAACCAAAGGCTCTTAGAGTAATATTCTCAGTATAATTACTCAGGATTCTAAAAACATCACTTCATGATCCATAAGATGACCGGACCAAAAAAGGAATTAGCAGAGATTCGCGTAAGTTAACCAGACATTCATAACCATTGAACAAAAAAAAAAAAGTAATAATCAATAATACTACACACGCCACCTTTCAGTACCACTTTTGTACTCTACTTTTAAACCATTAAATTAATGAGACTCGACTCATTGAGAAATTAGATACATTTGTCTCTGATCCACATTAAAACAATGGATCAAAACAATTTTAGATCAAGATAACTAAATTTCTCGAAGGATTAGGGTCAAATTTTATTTTTCTTTACGGTCTGTTTTTTTAGTGGAATAATGGAAAAAAATGTAAGAGAAAGGATTTTTTTTTTTATTTTCATGTGTTTAATTAGCATGAAATAGAAGATAATAGAAAAAATATTTTTTTTATTTTCTCACAACTATCTAACTTTTTTTTTTGTAAATAATATAAGAAAATATAAGAAAANGAAGATAATAGAAAAAATATTTTTTTTATTTTCTCACAACTATCTAACTTTTTTTTTGTAAATAATATAAAAAAATATAAGAAAGTTGTGATTTATAACAAACTTCCCATTTTACCCTTATTTTTAAAAAAATATTTTTATGGTTATTAATTTTTAAAAAACTTGGTATGAATTAGGCTAACTATAAAATTTGACCCAAAGATATTAGTTGTGATGTTTATCCTAGAATTAGGTTAGGAGTCACTTTTAAAAAAAAAAATTATTTTAATTATAATATATTTTTTAGACCAATTTAATATAATTAAGGGTAATTTAGACAATTAAAAAAATCTCTTATAACTTTCCTTTATTTTAAATAATAAAATGAAAATTTTTAAAAATTTTCTCACAAATTTTTCATACTAATCAAATACATATATGAAAATAGAGGCTATATGAGCAATGCTAGGGAGTTCAAGAACATTATAACTCATAAGTGCAGCATTGGGACAGCTTCATTACATTGTTCATAGTTAGAGATCCTCCACTAGCTAGATCAATGTAGAAGAAACAGATCATCATCACTCTATATGAACTTTATCTTTTTAGCTAAACCAACATTTAATTAGGAGGTTTTATTTAATGGCATGCATTGTAATTTGTCTAATATCAAATGAATCGACATGGAAAAGGATGTGAAAGGACTCCTATTCTAGTATCTCACTTGGTTTATAGTCAAACTAGCAAGATTAACTCGAATAAAATTAGGTAATTTTGTACTGTTGATTGCCATTTTTTTTAAACGAGGAACCTCTTTTAGACAGGATCACTTCGAACTTATTCCTATGAGAATAAACCTCAAATAAGGTTACATGATTTGACACTATTGACGTGATATAATTGTTATATCAAATATTTATGAGAGAGTGTGAGAGAGAGAAATTTGCTTGGGATTTACAATCTCAAGTAAGATCGGTTCAGGATCATGCGATCCTTTTCTATTATATAGAAAGGGTTGTAGCACAAAAATGTACTTCTAAGTAATTGTCTCATAGATCTTATATCTATCTATATTAGTTCCCAACCATAGGGTGAATGAAAATCCGATACATAAATTAGTTAATAAAAGAATAGAAAAAAATATTTTATTGTATCACTTAAGTTATATAAAAATTCTTGGACCCAAGAGTTAAAAATAACAAGTTCTTCATTACAATAACCATTTATAATACCTGCAAATCAAGATAGAACAGGTTTGATTCATTTTCCACGTAGGGAAGTATAAAAGGAAAGTGGTCCCTTATCGCCTCTATTTCTTTCCCGTAACGAAACCTTCCACAAAAAGCAGCTCACACTCGGTAATAAAACTTTAACATAGATTCTTTCCCATTGACTAGACCTTTTACAGGGACCTCTCCTATATATATAGATAAGGGAGAGTACCTTTGCTACCGCTCTCTCCAAGCTGGCCATAATAGAAGTGACAAGCTTGTCTCTTCAGGTTGAGGATAGAATCATTCCTCATGCAAGAATAATAGATAGATAGACTGAGAACATAGCGACATCATGAAAGAGACCTAATTTTGAGTGAAATAAATAGCGCAACTTCAATCTTTTTTAATAACATCATCACGCAGAATATGCTAACACGCCATATGGGCATATGGTCCTAACAAATTCCTTTCAAGAACATAGAATATTATTAATTTACTTTTTTTTTTGGTCATGTGATATTATAGTGGAGGAGGATGACGAGGTTTGAACTCGCACTCTCCTAGTCAAACAGCAGGAATGCTCTTATACTTGAGGGCTCAGTTTAAGGCAGACACATTTGATTCAAGCCGGGTTGGGCTAAATATTAGTATACGTAGTGTTGGAAATCCTGAACTATTCACAACCTAGCCCAGCCCATAAGCTCTACACAAACCCAATCTTGGTGCAACGAACCTAGCCCCTTAAGTTCGGATTGGGCTCTACTTTATTTATATTATTTTGTGAGAATTGGAGCTCATTCCTATCATTGGTTATCATTGTGTTCGTATTGCTGTTTAGAGAATAAATTATTTACAGGCAATTAATTAAAATTGAAGAGCTATACAAACTCATCATAAGTTGTCAAAAACCCCTCTTTCAACCCGTCATCCCGGATGGAGAGGGAGAAAAGGGATAGTACTGCAACATTTATTATTTTTAGATTTTAAATTGGAGTCTCACAAAAAATGTTTAATCAATTCAATATATGTAATTCATGATTGATTGTGTTTATCTAGTGCTTAAAATGAATATATAAATAGGTCATTCTACATATCCGTTAGAAAATATTATCCTTCAACACCACATAGTTATTCGCAAAATATTCTACTGCACATAAGTCAGGATTAAAACTAAAATTTTCTTGCATGCTGAGCGCTGAAAAATAAATTTTGTCCAATTGAACTATCATAACTAGGAAAATTGCTCAATCTCAAGTATTGAATAAAAAAATCTGAATTCTAACCCAATGAATCAATCAGTACTGTATTTATCAATCATAAAAAAAATAATTATAATAATGAAAATAAAAAAAAGAAAAACATATAATCAATGCATGACTTTGACAAAATGTAGGTGCAACAATTACACTAGCAGCAGGTCACACACTTCTCACCCTATCCTCTCATATGCGTGCATTTGGATTGAAGTTTAATTATTATGCGTATTTATAATGTGTTGTGATAAATGCCTGATAAGTGCATTATGTATGGATATTACATGTAAACTTGAATATTCAATAATAAATTCAGATGACGAATTTGATATGATATTAGATAGTGATGATGAGACTTCTATTTTATTGACTGCAATAAAATTAAGTAGTCACAATACATCACAACGACCATGTAGAACGTTTGCTCTTAAAAGACATGATTACATGTTGGAACTATTACATGAACATGAAAGTAGGTGTTATGAGCAATTTAGAATGGACACACCTGTGTTCGTATTGCTGTGTGAGACATTAAAAGAAAAAGGGTTGAAACACTCTAGGTTTATAACCGTGCAAGAAAAAGTTGCTATATTTTTACTTACAATATCACATAATGAGCGAAATCGCATAGTAGTTAAAAGGTTTCAACATTTGGGGGAGACTATTTCCAAATACTTTAATCGTGTTCTCAAAACAGTTTGTAAGCTTGGAGTTGATATCATCATCCCTCCCGATTTTAGTATGGTTCAACCTCAGATTCGTTTTAACCCAAGATATTACCCTTTCTTTAAGGTAAGTGTTGGCTGGATTTTCAATATATGTTGTAACAAAATACTACTTTCAATGTCATTCATGTGTTTTTCGTTTTCTTTGAAGAATTGTGTTGGTGCCATTGATGGCACCCACATTGATGCACGTGTTCCAACGGATTCACAAATACCATACTGTGGGAAATGTGTTGTACTAACTCAAAATGTAATATGTGCATGTTCCTTTGACATACGCTTTAATTTGTGATGAGTGGGTAGAAGGGTACTACTCATGACTGAAGAATATTTGTTGAGTGTGTTGCTAATCCATCCAACAAGTTTTCAATGCCGCCAAAGGATAAATATTTTGTTGTGGATTTGGACTACACAAACATGCTTGATTTTCTGTTCCCGTATTGTGGTGAGAGATATCACTTGCGTGATTATAGAGGTAAGGGTTGACAACTAATCGGTAAAGAAGAATTATTCAATCATCGATACTCTTCACTTTGGAATGTGATAGGGCGTTGTTTTTGGAGTTCTAAAGACTCATTTTTTCATTTTGAAGCTAATGCCTCCATATCCCTTAACCACACAAAAATACATTCCCACATCTTGTTATACAGTGCATAACTTCACAATAATGCATTCTCGTCAAGATCAGTTATTTGACAACTGGAAAAGAAGAGAACTTGTTGATAATGAAAGAACTGTTGCTGGATCTAGTTCACAGGTCCCAATAGAATTAGACATAAGTCCGAGTCAGCTGCGTCAAATGGCTTGTGTTAGAGATACAATTGCTAATCAATTGTGGGCATCAACTCACCATTGATACATGTCTTAATGTTATTATTTATTATGATAGTAAAAATGTGTTAACACTTGCATTGTTATATTGAATTTAATACTTATATGACTAATTTTTACTTGTTGATGTTGATGTAATTAGGTGTGTTAAAATGACACGTATTGGCTCTCCATGCTCGTGTGGATCTAGGAACATGAATATTTTGGTCGCAAGGACCAAACGAAACAATGGACGATCTTTTTTATCGTTGTGCACGATGGCGTGAGC